AAAGATTTGATTCAAATTTTAGAAAATATATCACAATAAAATGTGGTTTATGAAGTATTGAAATTAAGAAAAACATATATAATAACACTTCACTTAAGATATCTTCAAATAATTACAAAATGAGTTTGTAACTTGAAATTTTGTGATTCTGATTTGTTGACGCCGAGTAAAAACTGACCAAAGTGGCAGTAAAATGTCTGTTTCTTGTCCCATGCACCAAGTAAAGATATTGTCTTAATGAATGGTCAACAATTGATCAATTAAAAAAATGGTTACATTCTCACTTTCAAGTCACTGCAAACTTAGTTGTAAAGAAATTGCAAGTCGCTGTCAGGAATGTATGGGTGATGATCGGCGCCTCCCTAACCTGAGCTTTTCAGTTCCATCCTGATGTTTTTGGATGCTTTTGTTGATTTCTTGAAATACAGTTCATGAATGATATCCACATTGGTTGGAGGCCTTCCTTGTCTTTTCTTAGTGTTGTATTCCTTGTTTGTTTGTTTGTTGTTTAATGCCACACTCAGCAATATTCCAGCTCTATGATGGCAGTCTGTAAATAATCGTGGTAGGTTGATCACAACGTTTTTGTTTTCATAAGTCTCAAGGGGGCCAAATCATGATCTGTACAACTGTAAACCTCAAAATCCTACCCTTCCCTTTGAAAAACAAGTATTCTCTCAATAGTTGAGGATGGTGCAGAATTAAAAGCTTTAATCCCATATTGTCCATACACATGGAAAAATGTCATAGTAGCTGACATACCTTGGAATTTACAAGTATATATGTCAGACACTCACACTGATAAAAAAAACCACCACAGAATGCCATGAATGACACCCAAACAATGCAAGTGGGCCATGCGTATTGGACAGATGGGAGCCACCCATGCCCACATTGCAAGAACTTTTGGCTGATCCTGTGCTGTAACCAAACTGATGCAATGTCACAGGCAGACCGGGCAAACATCAGACTGGCCAAGAACATGCAGACCCTCGGTAACTACACCCAATGAAGACCAGTACTTGCACACTTTGCATCTCCGGAATCGATTCCTGACAGTGATGTCATCAGCGACAAATGCCTTAGGACATATGGTTAGTCGACAGAGGCCAGGTGACTCAGGGCTGAAGGAATTATGGCTTACAGACCTCACAGATTGACAGCACAATATCATCGTCAGTGATTGAAAATGGGCCCGGAGTGTATGCTGCTGGCAGTGATGTAACTGGCAGTGATTCATCTTCACTGATGAAAGCTGGTTCTCTCTACTCAGGGCTGATGAAAGACAGCGTGTTTACCGCCTAGGTGAGAACTAACAGTTGTCGTATGGTGGAGGTGGTGCTGTGGTGTGGGGAGGAATGCGTGGGCAAGAGATAACACCACTGGTCATTGTTAATGGATGGTCGATTTAGATGTGTGTGCCCTTTGTCCGTTATGTTGAAAGCTTGTTTTTGCTGCCCCACCTCAATTCAGACAACAGTCATACCAATATTGGATACTGTGTGACTGTCATGTTGATTTCGTTGAGATTTTGATCTATTCAATACATTTTGCTTCATGCATCTATCTTTTTGTGTTTTTTAAACTAGAGTGATTTAAACTATGGTCAAGTTTCTTTTGGCCATTTATTTCTCTCTGAGCCCATTGGCTTATTCATGCAGTGCAATAACCATTTTATCAATTTGTTGCATGGAAGGGTGGGTCTCTGGGCAATATCATGGTTTTATGGAAGGTCATGTGACCCTTTCTCAACCAATGAAAATACAGATATATTTTGTAATGTAATAATAAGGCTTGTCATATTCATGTTTAAGAAAAGGGTTTGTCATATCCATGTCTTACTTGTAATAGGGCTTGTCTTATTCATGTTATACACTAGTGATGATCATATTCATGTCATACAATAGTGATCATCATATTCATTTTATACACCAGTGGACCCGTGAAGATCTGGGTAGGGAATAGGTCTTCAGCAATCCATGCTTGCCGTAATAAGCAACTATACTTGTCGTAAGAGGTGACTAATGAGATCGGGTGGTCAGGCTCGCTGGCTTGGTTGCATGCCATCATATCCCATTTGCTTAGATCGATGCTCATGATGTCAATCACTGGATTGTCTGTTGCAGGCTCGATTATTTACAGACTGCCATCATAAAGCTGGAATATTATTGCTGAGTGCAGTGTTAAACAACAAACAAACAAAAACAACATTAAACACCAGTGATGATATTATTCTTGTAAAATACTAGTGATGTTCATAATCATGTTATACACCTGTGATGATCATATTCATGTTATACACAAATGATTACCATATTCATGTGGTACACTCGTAATGATCATATTCGTGTTATACACTTGTGATGATCATATCCATGCTGTACACTAGCGATGGTCATGTTCATATTATACAACGGTGATGATCATATTGAATATAATTCATGTTACACACTAGTGATGATCATATTCATGTTACACACTAGTGATGATCATATTCATGTTACACACTAGTGATGATCATATTCATGTTACACACTAGTGATGATCATATTCATGTTATACACAAGTGATGATCACACTCTACCTTGACATTGAAGAATGCTTTATCCTGTTTGGTTAAAAAGAGGGTTCCTTTTTGTTACGGAAATCGGGCCTTTTAAATATATTAAGACTTTTCACACAAAAATTGTGCATATGAATACATCAATAGCCTTCGGTGCCAATTGATCACCAAAAGGAATTGTAAAAGGTATCAATATTTCCTCTATTACATGCTGGGTCTCTAATACAAGCCAGGTCTCAAATACATGCCGGGTCAACAGCTCTCGCGAAATTAATAAACAGTCTAGCGTCTAATAGAGGAACTATGGTAGTTTGATATCGTATGTTTTTGGCCACAATATGATGCTCTAGGCCATAACCCTAACTGCTTCGATGATGAGATTTAACAAAGGCATATCTTTTGCATACAATTGAAATGTTTATGAAACTGTTGGGGATATGTTCGATGGCGAACAGACTCGGAACAGGCAATTTCCTCATTGAAACAACCGACAATGAAAGTAAAATATAACATTATAAAAAAGTGTTTGTAAAGACTTTGTTCATCACGTCTGTTCAGTCATACTCCAGTTCCATTGGTAATTATATTGTACCAGCAGGCTCATTCCCAGTAAAGGTTAATGTTGAACCACATTATAGATCGGGGCTGTCATCTTGCTTCATGTAACTTAAACTGTCAAGGGCATGGAGATTGTCAACAACAACATTGGCAGCCATATCGACAGTAGGGACAAGTGACCGTGATGTAGGTCAAGTTGTGCCACATCCCAGTTTGGGATGGAGAGGAATGTATTTGAATTTGTATTATTTACTGGGGATAATTGCTATCTAGCTAATAAGACTTACACATTTAAAATACTTAGAAAGAATGTTTATTAATAAAGTTTGTTAGAGAAATAAATTTGTTTAGCTTGTATTTAATAGGAGATGGCATATTTGATTTCCAAGAAATGACTTGGTGAGACCAAACAGTGCACAGCAGGTTGCGATGAAATCAAAACATCTATCTTTGGACTCAGCCTGGAGGGTTATTTGTCACCTTCTTTTTGAAAAACTAAGTGTTTTGAACCTTTATTCTGAGCTACCAGGTAGTTAAGACTATATGTATTTAATGTTGAACTTTAGTAATATTTGTTACATTTATGACCCCCTTCTCAGAATGTTCTAAGATAGCAGACCTTCAAGAGAGCGCCGTTTTCAAAGTGCTCTTGTCGTCATGGTAGACAGGATATAAACCTATTGTGTTTTCAGATTTGATGTAGTCCCACTGTAGAGTAGATACCACTTATTTTAATTTGGAACCAAGCGCTTTTGTGATGATCATATTCATATTAAACACTAAGGCTTGTCAATAGGTTTTGTGATGTGATACATATGATATTGTATGAGTGAATGAATGTTGCAAGATTTGAATACCAATTTCTTTCTTTTGCTGATTCTTTCTGAATTTGATAAACATAACCGAAGATGTGCAATTTTCTTAACTCTATTCTGTGCAAAGAGAAAATGATATTTTTTTAACAGTGTGAAAGTGAGAAAAATGGATTCATTCAAGTAGAATTTGCTGACTGACAATGTCTGTAAACATCTTAGAGAGATCTTTTGGAGAAGGGGGAATCAGTGTGGGGCACATAGCCAACAACTTGTTACTGTGTGAAACAGGGGCAGTACTGTGTACACTGTCAAGTCATGATGGCGATGCTTATAGTCAAAGAATGAGGATGGTGTATTTAGCAATTAACATTACAAGACTTGTGTGTGTAGACAAAATATTTCCCTATTACTATATGTGAAAAAAGCTTAGAATTAAAAGACAATCTACTCCTATAATCCCATTTTGTCCATGTTGCTGCTATACACTTGTATATATGTCATAGTAGCTGGCATATATTGGAATTTACAATATAAGTACATACATATTATGTGATAATGTTTAACATGCAATCATGCACGTAAATGTTCAGCATGCACACAATCTGTTGAAAGTTGTCACATGGACATACTGTTACATGGTGTTGGAGAGTTGTGACTGCTACAAGCTGCACTCGGGGCTGGTGTCAGTGCACCCACCTCTTATTACAAAGACCCATTACATAATATTACCTCACACACTGCAGCAGCAACATAATTCACAAATTAGGTTGCAAGTATTTTTCTCAGCAGTTAACTTATCCAAATGTCAGCTGGATTTAAATACAGCATGATGGCTAAAATAGCTGGAAACCATGGATCCCCTGTGTTGACATTAAGTTAATGAATTATGGACCTGAGTTACATGGAGGAAGTTTGCCTTTGACATTCACTGGTATAAGCTGCCATGTAATGCAAAGGATCAGCCACGAATGTGTAATGTCGACATTTCACCCACTGACTGCACATACGTGATCACCACACAGCACACACAAACCCTAATACTGTGTCATGCATGGTAACTTGGCTTCAGCGTACTTCAACATGTTGTTTTCATTGAATACTAGTAGTAGAGTATCATCTTGAGAACTGTAAGTGGAGCCCTCACTAACAAAGTTAATATTACTGACATTATCAACCTAGCTACTTTGCTGGGCTGGAAAAAAATGTCAAGAATTTGTCTAGTGATTGCAATTGCTAGCTGTGGGGGGTGTTGATTGTGTAGTCATCTTGTGTAGTATGAGAGGAGGACAGGGAAGGAGAACTGCAATCTTCCAGAGGCTAGCTGGCTGTGTATAGGACTGTCATTTCGCAGCAGGCCTTACAACACAGGCCTTACAACACAGGCCTGTGGTGTCATCTGACTGACAGGAAAGAAGGTGAGATGTTTGTTTTGTCATGTGAGTGAGAGATCAGAGGATGCTGTGATACTTCTTATTGATCATAGGTTTGTAGGTTGAGCCAGTGACAGACACAGACTGCCTGTCTTGGCCTGTCTTGGCCTGTCTTTGTTGACTGAGGAATCAGGTGCTGGAAATTACTTTCTACATAATTGATAAGGTTTGGTGGCATTTCTCTGGTGGAGATGTGCCTCGCCATATGAACATTACTAAATCATGTGACTAGCCATGCACATTGTCCCCACTGTGTGCCAAGCATCGCACAAGTAGATGAGGGTGAACAGGATAATTTAGACTTGGCAATATGAAGCACTGATGATACAAGGATTTACCAATGTCTGACCTGTGACTGGAGTATCTTCACATCCCTACTGTATCACTTTCTTTCAAATCTCCCTAACTGGTCAGCTCCTATCAAGAATTCATTGTACAAATTATCTTCAGATTGACACAAAACATTGCCTGACTGGTGAATCTTATCATCTGGCATATATTTGTAAAGAATGTTGTAAAGATTTTGTGCAAACAGATCAATATCAAGTCACTGAGCCCTTATTTGTGAATTCTGCATTGACATGCGTGTGCTGTAAGTGTGATATTGTGTCTGCCCTGACCTCTGTGTGTATCATTGTGTCTGTCCTGACCTCTGTGTGTATCATTGTGTCTGTCCTGACTTGTGTGTATATCATTGTGTCTGTCCTGACTTCTGTGTTAATATTGTGTCTGTCCTGACTTGTGTGTGTATCATTGTGTCTGTCCTGACCTCTGTGTGTATCATTGTGTCTGTCCTGACTTCTGTGTGTATCATTGTGTCTGTCCTGACTTGTGTGTGTGATATTGTGTCTGTCCTGACTTGTGTGTGTATCATTGTGTCTGTCCTGACTTGTGTGTGTATTATTGTGTCTGTCCTGACTTGTGTGTGTATCATTGTGTCTGTCCTGACTTGTGTGTGTATCATTGTGTCTGTCCTGACCTCTGTGTGTATCATTGTGTCTGTCCTGACCTCTGTGTGTATCATTGTGTCTGTCCTGACTTGTGTGTGTATCATTGTGTCTGTCCTGACCTCTGTGTGTATCATTGTGTCTGTCCTGACTTGTGTGTGTATCATTGTGTCTGTCCTGACTTGTGTGTTAATATTGTGCCTGTCCTGACTTGTGTGTGTATCATTGTGTCTGTCCTGACCACTGTGTGTATCATTGTGTCTGTCCTGACCACTATGTGTATCATTGTGTCTGTCTTGACTTGTGTGTGTATCATTGTGTCTGTCCTGACTTGTGTGTGTATCATTGTGTCTGTCCTGACCTCTGTGTGTATCATTGTGTCTGTCCTGACCTCTGTGTTAATATTGTGACTGTCCTGACTTCTGTGTGTATCATTGTGTCTGTCCTGACTTCTGTGTTAATATTGTGTCTGTCCTGACTTCTGTGTTAATATTGTGTCTGTCCTGACTTGTGTGTGTATCATTGTGTCTGTCCTGACTTGTGTGTGTATCATTGTGTCTGTCCTGACCTATGTGTGTATCATTGTGTCTGTCCTGACTTGTTTGTGTGATATTGTGTCTGTCCTGACTTGTGTGTGTATCATTGTGTCTGTCCTGACTTGTGTGTGTATCATTGTGTCTGTCCTGACCACTGTGTGTATCATTGTGTCTGTCCTGACCTCTCTGTGTATCATTGTGTCTGTCCTGACTTCTGTGTGTATCATTGTGTCTGTCCTGACTTCTGTGTGTATCATTGTGTCTGTCCTGACTTGTGTGTGTATCATTGTGTTTGTCCTGACTACTGTGTTGATATTGTGTCTGTCCTGACTTGTGTGTTAATATTGTGTCTGTCCTGACCTCTGTGTGTATCATTGTGTCTGTCCTGACTTGTGTGTATCATTGTGTCTGTCCTGACCTCTGTGTTAATATTGTGACTGTCCTGACTTCTGTGTGTATCATTGTGTCTGTCCTGACTTCTGTGTGTATCATTGTGTCTGTCCTGACCTCTGTGTGTATCATTGTGTCTGTCCTGACTTGTGCGTGTATCATTGTGTCTGTCCTGACCTCTGTGTGTATCATTGTGTCTGTCCTGACCTCTGTGTGTATCATTGTGTCTGTCCTGGCCTCTGTGTGTATCATTGTGTCTGTCTTGACCTCTGTGTGTATCATTGTGTCTGTCCTGACTTCTGTGTGTATCATTGTGTCTGTCCTGACTTCTGTGTGTATCATTGTGTCTGTCCTGGCCTCTGTGTGTATCATTGTGTCTGTCCTGACCTCTGTGTGTATCATTGTGTCTATCCTGACTTGTGTGTGTGTATCATTGTGTCTGTCCTGACTTGTGTGTGTATCATTGTGTCTGTCCTGACCTCTCTGTGTATCATTGTGTCTGTCCTGACTTGTGTGTGTATCATTGTGTCTGTCCTGACTTCTGTGTGTATCATTGTGTCTGTCCTGACCTCTGTGTGTATCATTGTGTCTGTCCTGACTTCTGTGTGTATCATTGTGTCTGTCCTGACCTCTGTGTGTATCATTGTGTCTGTCCTGACTTGTGTGTGTATCATTGTGTCTGTCCTGACTTGTGTGTGTATCATTGTGTCTGTCCTGACTTGTGTGTGTATCATTGTGTCTGTCCTGACCTCTGTGTGTATCATTGTGTCTGTCCTGACTTGTGTGTGTATCATTGTGTCTGTCCTGACTTCTGTGTTAATATTGTGTCTGTCCTGACTTGTGTGTGTATCATTGTGTCTGTCCTGACCTCTGTGTGTATCATTGTGTCTGTCCTGACTTCTGTGTTAATATTATGTCTGTCCTGACTTGTGTGTGTATCATTGTGTCTGTCCTGACCTCTGTGTGTATCATTGTGTCTGTCCTGACTTGTGTGTGTATCATTGTGTCTGTCCTGACCTCTGTGTGTATCATTGTGTCTGTCCTGACCTCTGTGTGTATCATTGTGTCTGTCCTGACTTGTGTGTGTATCATTGTGTCTGTCCTGACCTCTGTGTGTATCATTGTGTCTGTCCTGACCTCTGTGTGTATCATTGTGTCTGTCCTTTTTGTGTCTGTCCTGACTTGTGTGTGTATCATTGTGTCTGTCCTGACTTGTGTGTGTATCATTGTGTCTGTCCTGACCACTGTGTGTATCATTGTGTCTGTCCTGACTTCTGTGTTAATATTGTGTCTGTCCTGACTTGTGTGTGTATAATTGTGTCTGTCTTGACTTGTGTGTGTATCATTGTGTCTGTCCTGACTTGTGTGTGTATCATTGTGTCTGTCCTGACCTTGGTGTGTATCATTGTGTCAGTCCTGACCTCTGTGTTAATATTGTGACTGTCCTGACTTCTGTGTGTATCATTGTGTCTGTCCTGACTTCTGTGTTAATATTGTGTCTGTCCTGACTTCTGTGTTAATATTGTGTCTGTCCTGACTTGTGTGTGTATCATTGTGTCTGTCCTGACTTATGTGTGTATCATTGTGTCTGTCCTGACTTGTGTGTGTATCATTGTGTCTGTCCTGACCTCTGTGTGTATCATTGTGTCTGTCCTGACTTGTGTGTGTGATATTGTGTCTGTTCTGACCTCAGTGTGTATCATTGTGTCTGTCCTGACTTCTGTGTTAATATTGTGTCTGTCCTGACTTGTGTGTGTATAATTGTGTCTGTCTTGACTTGTGTGTGTATCATTGTGTCTGTCCTGACTTGTGTGTGTATCATTGTGTCTGTCCTGACCTTGGTGTGTATCATTGTGTCAGTCCTGACCTCTGTGTTAATATTGTGACTGTCCTGACTTCTGTGTGTATCATTGTGTCTGTCCTGACTTCTGTGTTAATATTGTGTCTGTCCTGACTTCTGTGTTAATATTGTGTCTGTCCTGACTTGTGTGTGTATCATTGTGTCTGTCCTGACTTATGTGTGTATCATTGTGTCTGTCCTGACTTGTGTGTGTATCATTGTGTCTGTCCTGACCTCTGTGTGTATCATTGTGTCTGTCCTGACTTGTGTGTGTGATATTGTGTCTGTTCTGACTCAGTGTGTATCATTGTGTCTGTCCTGACTTCTGTGTTAATATTGTGCCTGTCCTGACTTCTGTGTGTATCATTGTGTCTGTCCTGACTTGTGTGTGTATCATTGTGTCTGTCCTGACTTGTGTGTGTATCATTGTGTCTGTCCTGACTTGTGTGCGTATTATTGTGTCTGTCCTGACTTCTGTGTTAATATTGTGTCTGTCCTGACTTGTGTGTGTATCATTGTGTCTGTCCTGACTTGTGTGTGTATCATTGTGTCTGTCCTGACCTATGTGTGTATCATTGTGTCTGTCTTGACCTCTGTGTGTATCATTGTGTCTGTCCTGACTTGTGTGTGTATCATTGTGTCTGTCCTGACCTCTCTGTGTATCATTGTGTCTGTCCTGACTTGTGTGTGTATCATTGTGTCTGTCCTGACTTGTGTGTGTATCATTGTGTCTGTCCTGACTTGTGTGTGTATCATTGTGTCTGTCCTGACTTGTGTGTGTATCATTGTGTCTGTCCTGACTTGTGTGTGTATCATTGTGTCTGTCCTGACTTGTGTGTGTATCATTGTGTCTGTCCTGACTTGTGTGTGTATCATTGTGTCTGTCCTGACTTCTGTGTGTATCATTGTGACTGTCCTGACCTCTGGGTGTATCATTGTGTCTGTCCTGACTTGTGTGTGTATCATTGTGACTGTCCTGACCTCTGTGTGTATCATTGTGTCTGTCCTGACTTGTATGTGTATCATTGTGTCTGTCCTGACCTCTCTGTGTATCATTGTGTCTGTCCTGACTTGTGTGTGTATCATTGTGTCTGTCCTGACTTGTGTGTGTATCATTGTGTTTGTCCTGACTTGTGTGTGTATCATTGTGTCTGTCCTGACTTCTGTGTTAATATTGTGTCTGTCCTGACTTGTGTGTGTATCATTGTGTCTGTCCTGACCTCTGTGTGTATCATTGTGTCTGTCCTGACCTCTGTGTGTATCATTGTGTCT